AGAAAGGAAATAATCTTTAAATGTGTAAGGATAAGTAAAATAAGGATAATAAGTACAAGATTTAGGTGAAGTAAATGAGTTTTTGGAAAAAAAATGGCAAAAATTAGCTAGAATTTGAATGATTATTTTGAATAGAAATTCTCAAAAATGGACGTTATTATTCAAACTAAAATTAATAAAATGCTAAAAGATTCTGAGTTTTAGAGTTAATTAAATAACTAAAATATTTAAAATGGTGAAAAAATAGAGAATTTTTTTAATAAAGAAATAAATGAATAATATAAAAGTAATATAGAACCAAATATATAAAATTATATAAAAGAAATGTTCAAATAAATAACAAATACTTTCGAAAAAGGATAAATCTATTATAATGATAAATTAAAAAAGAATTAGCTAAAAATAATAATTCTTCAAATAGTTTTGATTAATATATAGAATAAACTAAAAAAAAACTTAAAGTTTAAGTCAATAATAATAAATTTGCAAATAAATACTTATTGATATCTAAAAAGATAATCAAGAAAGAAATGTACTTTAAAAGTAAATTTAAAATAATATGCTCAAATTAATGAAAAAATAAGAGGAAGTTTTAAATAAATACAATAATTTAAAAACAAATTCAGGTATTATAATTAATTATAAATATATATATATATATATATATATATATATATATATATATATATATATATATATATTTATATATATATATAATTATAAATATATTATTTTCATTTTTTTTATTCATTTTTTTATATATTATTATGTTAAGATAAAAAAGAAATCAATTGAATCAATTTTAATTAACTATAAATTTTAAGGATTATAATATAAAATTATTATTTTTTTTGTTTTAATTTTTTTTATATAAATAATATTATTTAACTTTATTTAGAATAATATTTTTTCATTATTTTATTTAAAAATAACTAATTTAACATATTAAAAAAAAAAAATAACAAAAAATTAAAAAAGTATTTTTTATATAAAAGAATAATATTTTTATATTATATATGATTAATATATAATTTATAAATATATTAATTATTGTCTTTAATATAAAAGAATAAAAGCATATATGTAGTTTTTTTGAATTTTATATTTATTTTAATAAAAAAATAATAATAATTATAAAAAAAAAATTAAAAAAATTAATTTGATAAAATATTAATAAATGAAATTAAAATAATAATTAAAAAAATTATTTAATATATAGATATATAATTTTCAATAAGTTTTTAAAATTATAATATATATAAATAAAGATATTTTATAAAAATATATATAAGTAGTTAAATGATATTATTTAAATAATATATATATATATATATATATATATATATATATATATATATTTAAATATATATATTTATAAATATATTTTTTTTTTAATATTTTTAATGTTTTTTTTTTATTTATTTTTAATATTTTTTTTTTTATTAAAAAAATATTTTATTTAATAATTATATATTTAAAATATTAATAAATTTTATATCTTATAAATATTTTTATACATTTATTTAATATTTAAATAAATAATTGACACGTATATTTAATTTATCGAATTTAATATTTTAAAAACAATTAAGTTTATTCATAGTTCCTTTTTATTTATTTTATTTTCAAAATATATTATTTTTAAAAAATATAATAAAAGACAGAATTTAGATTGCGATGTATATAAATGTTAATATAATTTTTTTTTTCTAAAAGAAAATATTTTATTTCAAATTTAAATATTATATACATACATATTTTTAAGACATTAAACTATATAAAATAATATAATTACAAATTGAAATAATAATAAAATGGTAAATATCGTTTACTTTTACTAATGATTTATTTTTGTAAGAATGAATTAATCAAAATTATATCTTTTTTTTTATTATTAAAAAAACAAAATAATATATATTATTTATTATAATTTATAATTTATGTTATATAATTTTAGAAAATATAATAAATACATAATATTTTTTTTTAATAATATATATATATATATATATATATATATATATATATATATATATTGCATAAAAATATTATATTATTAAAATCTTTAAAAAGGAATATATATATAAAAGCATAATAAACATTTTTTATATTAAATAAAAAAAAACAAAGTCTAAAAAATATTTATTAGCTAATATATGATTCATATTTTTATGTTAATATATCAAGTATTACATTATTATCAATTAATTATTTTTTTTACCCAAATATAAAACTAATATTAAACTGAAATTACATTAAAAAAATTATAATTCTTAATTAGTTGTGATATAAGATACAACAAATTAGTTAAATTTATTTATTTATTTCTTAAATAGACGATCTGTAAGGATTTAAGAAAATAATAGTAATATAAAAGAACAATTATAAAATAAATAATTAATGGTTTATGAAAATATTCTTATCAGAAATATTCTAATAACTATGAAAAGGAGAAAAATATTTTACATAGATTTCTGATGTAGCAAAGAACTATTTTAGGAATAAATAAATAAAACTAAATAATTAAATAGATAAATTATAATGTATTTCAAATAAAACTATTAAATCTATTATTTATCTTAAATAGAATAGAACTTTAAATAAAATGTTATTATGCTTTTATTTTAATTATATTGAGAAAAAACTCATAAATAATTAAGAAATACTTAAAAATTTTAGAAATTAATAAAATTATTATTAATTAACAAAATTAAGAGAAGGTAATTATAAATTAGAAAAAATAAGAAAAAAAAGATTATTTTATTTAAATAAAAGTTTAATTGAAATATAAAATAATCAAGAGAAAAAAGTTTTAAATAAATAAAATTCAATAAATTTTTAAAAAGATAAAAAATGATTAAATAAAAATTATTTATTTATAGAAATATAAAGGATATCAAAAAAAGTTAAAAAATTATTATATATAATAATAAGATTTGATATAAAAATATTTAGTAATAAATGCAAAAATTAAAGAAATAGAAAAATAATAATAATAATTCTTAAAGTTACTTAATAAGATTATATTTTAAAAACTAAATCTATGTTTTTATTAATATATTTTTTTTTTTTAATAATTTTTTATTTTAATAAATAAAAATATTAATTTATTCAATTTAAATATAAAAAAATATTTTTATACTTTTTATTTTTTTTTATAAATAAAAAATATACATTTATTTTTTATTATATAAAAAAAATATACGTTTGTATATAACAAAATATATATGAAATCTAAAAGTTAATTTTTTAATTTTAAAGAATAATCTGAAAGTTGTCGAGAAATAAGTTTATTAAAAAGTAGACCAATTTAAATATTTGAAAAGAAAGTAAACAGTTAATTCAGAATTGGTTAATCAAGTTTAACACACACTGAATTAGACAATAAATAATAATAAAGAAAATAAATAAGCAGTTACGATTATATATTAAAAAATCTCTGCCAAGATTAACCATAAGTTAAATAAAAAATTAGATATACCCGAGCAATTTCAAATCCACATAAAAAGCTGTATTTAATTCCTATAAGTACTTCTTAGTATTCTGATTTTGAGTCTCTTGTTACTTTCGAAAAAATATAATTAATAAATTAAATTGAATCAAACATTTAAGAAAACGACGAAAAATATATTAATTTGGAAAAATATAATTTAAAGAATAAATAAGATAGTTTAAATTAATTAACATAATAGGTTAAATATGAAAGTAAATTTTTATTTTATTTTTAAAAAAGAAAATAAAAATAAAATAAAAAAAAGATTTAATAGAAAATAAAAATTATATATATTTAATATCTTAGTATAGTCCTGTGTATTTTCAAATAAATATAAGAAATAAAAACTTTCCTTTTATAATATAATTCGAGAAATCTTTTTAATAATTAAAATTAAAAGTAGCATATTCATTCGTTAATCAAATTCCATCCGGAAAATAGATTTAAGATAGATTTTTTTTCATAAAAAAAGCTTAGGCATATAAAATAGATATTTTTGGATTAAAAGAATAATATGAGTTTTTATATTTAGCAATTTTTTCTTAAGAACTTATTAGTGTTTGTTTTAAAGTTTGGTTTAGTCAACTTTTATTTAAAAATTAAGATAAAAATAATGAAAGTTTAAAGAATTTAAGTTAAGAATAAAACGATTCTTAAATAAATATTGGTCATTCTAAAAAAAAAACTAAATTGTTATTTAATGAATAAGAAATTAGTATATTAATTTATTTTTAAATAAAATAAAAATAAATAAAAAATAGAAAGTATTTTAGAAAAAAGGAAATTGAGGTTATAATAATAGTCGAATAATAAAAATTTTATTTTAAAAAATGCTGAAAATGCCTATTATTATAAATAATAAAAATATTGTGATTCGAATGTATTTTTTTATTTTATTAATATATATTATAAATTAGATTTTTTATTTAACTATTTATTAAGTTTATTAAAGAAAAAAATGAGCATATATAGCATATATAACAGTAAAAAAAAGCTAATTAAATATTTAAAGTAGAACATATGATGAAAAGATATTTTAAAAAATAATTTAATCATATTGCTTTGTAAACAGAATTATAAAAAAATAAAAAAAATAAATATTAAAAAAAGTTTAATATCTAATGGCTAAAATATATATATTTGATTAAATTAATGAATTTTCTTAAAATGAAAATAAAATAAAGAATTTATTAAAAGAAATAGTATTAATAAATATGAAAAATTGTAACTATTGATAACTATAAAAAAAAATATTTATAATTTGTTAAATAAAAAAAAATATATATATTATTAAAGAGAAAATAAAAAAAGTAAATTTTATATTTATAATATAAATAATAAAAATATTATTTAAATTTTAAATTTGAAAAATATTTAAAGTATAATAAAATAAATGAATCTAATAATTTATATATATATATATATATATATATATATATAATAAAAAATAATATTTAAATAAGAGGAAGTAAATATATATTAAAAAATAAAATATTTTTTTTTTAATAAAGAAAATAAAAAAACTTAAATATATTAATAAAAAGAATATATATAATTTATTTTTGTCGCCGCTTCGCAATTATATATATATATATATCTTTTTTATTTTTTTATTTATATGTTCAAAAAAAAAAAAATCATCCAAAAATCTTTTCAAATACGCTCTTTTTGAGTTTTTTATTAGGTGAATAAATAGCTCTTTATCCATGTTCAGAAGGTCTATAAGTACTTGAAGGCAAATAAGAAGCTCCCTAATTACCAACTCTACTACCAAGCAAAACATTAGTAACTCTTTATTATACAGGATGTCTATTATAGATAACAGATTAATTAATAACAGGAGCAGTACCGTATTAATATTAAACCTTTTATGCAGGTTAAATAACTTATTAGATAACAGGTTAAGTAATAACTTAAGATTAAACAAGAGGTTAAGTTATGACTTATTATTATACTTGTTGGGTAGGTTAGTGTACTATTTTTCTTTCTATTGCTTAATATTCGACTCTTTCTTAAACTTTTTCTTGAGGAATATATTCAATATATCTATCTTAATATACTTAGGGAATATATTCTTTTTAATATTCGACAGCATAGTAATCTGTAACTTTTTTTTATGTAGGAACATATTCGGTTCTTTAGACTGGTTAGTATTCAATCATAGATTTTTCATAAGGAACATATTCAATTCTGGATTCTCCTTTTACAACCTGATATTAATGAGAAGATTGCTAGACTATAGGTTATTAGACTATAGTTTATTAGATTACAGGTTATTAAGCTATAGATTATTAAAGATATTATACAGGTTATTATTAAACATATTGTAAAGGTTAGTGTAAAATTCTGGATTGTAATAAAGGTCTTCCTTAAATGTATTAAAGGGGAGGAGCGTAATGGACAGGAGGATAATAGTGAGTTGGGTGTTGAACGTCTGATTGCTGGAGAGGATCGTTTATTGGTTAGTTTTAGAAGTTTTATTCAGGGAATTAGGATTAAGGTTGGATGTCTAATTTATTTTGGGAAGGATATTTTTGTGATTGTAATTAGTTATCTGAATAATCGCTGTTCATGGTTTATTTTTTTATTATTTTAATTTTTTATTTATTTAATATTTTTTATATATGTTTTATTTTTATTTTTTTTATTTTTCTAAAATATTAATAAAAATATAAAAGAAAAATATTATTTTTTTGATGTAATTATATGCATTTAATATAATTTTATTTTTTTAGTTTCATTTTTTAGTTTCACTTTTTATTTTTTTAATATTTTATTTTTAATATTAAATTAATTATTTTTATATATAAAAAATTACTAATATTTAAAAATATTCAATTAGTTATGTAATTAATCTAATTTTATATATATTTTATTAAAGCATAATTTATGAATACATTTTTTGCATTTTTTTTGGAAGTTGAAGAATCATACAAAAAAGATGGTTAACTTTTTATTATAAAAATGTAAAAAAAATTGAAAGAAAAATAAAAAAAATCATAATTTTATTTATATTATAAAGTAAAAAAAATTAATATTATACAATTAAATTATTGTTTTATAATATAATTTAAACTTTCAATTCTTTTAATATATAGTTAAAACACAAATTGTTTTAGTTTGCATAAAAAAAAATAACACATATAACTTTGCATACAATTAACTTCTAAAAAAAAATATATTTCATATATAAAATATATAAAAATCTTAAAATATTAAAAAAAAATTATTATAATAAACATCTTTTTAGAATGCACTAAAAATATTTAATATATAAAATAAATTTTCTTTTATAATATAATTTCATATTAGTTTACTATTTAAGTTTTGTTCTCTTTTAACTTCTAATAAATTATTTATTTAAATTGATTTAGAAATAAGCTTAAATCATATTTTCCTATTTGTTAAAAGCTGAAAACATAATTAAAATTTAATGATTAATAATACTTTATTTTATTTTCGAATTTGCTTAAAATCCATCTAAATAGGCATATTAATATCTATTAAAACCAAATTATAATTATTATTATTTTCTTAAGCATATTATCTACTATAAGCTTAATCAATAATATTATTTTTAAAAGCTGAAACAGGAATCATAATGAAATTATATTAAGAAAAATATAATCTAAAATTAGAATACTATTTTACTCCCAAAAATAAAATTATAATTCTTATAAAATTTATATTGCAGAATCAACATTAAAAATTTATATTTTAATAAGTAGTTCTTGTAATTAAGGTAATTTTTTTTCTCTATCTTATTCAAAAATATCACTTTTAATATCTTCTAATTAACATATACTGTTTTATTAACTATAAAATTCATTAATAATAATAATAAAAAGGCATTTATAAAAAAGAAACTGGTATTAATTTATAAGTTATGATTTGAATTTTAAGATATAATAAATTCAAATTAATTATGTGCCTTTATTTTATAAACTAATTAATTTAATTTTTTTTAACAAACGTATATAATTAATCCTTCATATTTTTTAAAAAATAGAATATTTATATTTTCGATATTATATGACTTTTTTGTTTTTTTTTTTACATTATTTAAATTTCTTTTTAATGTTTTCTATTAAAATTTTAATTTTTGTTTATAAATACATTATTATTTTAAATTAAATTATAAAATATACTTTTTGCTTTATTATGAAGTACTCGGAATTTTTTCTATAAATTTTGTAACTTTTTCTTAAACATACCTATTCCAATATCTTATAAGAAAAAAAAAATTAATTGCTAAACCCAAGTTTTTAAGATTAATACTCTGATTTTTACAAAACCTTCTAATGTAAATTTTATGGCGCTTTGTAATTAAATTTAAAAAATATCTTTTCAATTTAATTTTTTTGACTAATATAAAATATAAGAAGTATTATTCATTCTTGTATTATCAAATTACATTTAAATATAAAATCTATTTTTTTTTAAAAAAAATAGTATTTATACAATTTTAATATATGAACTTCTGTACTATTCTTATATAATAAATGCTATTTTTTTATTTTACTTATTTTAAATTATATTATAAGATATATTCGAGCGAGAAAATATTTTTTCAGTTATTTTCTAATTTTTTATTTATATTTAAATTTAACTATAAATATCTCTAACTTTAATAAAACAAAAATAAACGATAAATTTTTAATTAAAAAAAAAATACTTAATATAGCCAAATAATTTTTTTATATAAACATATTTTTATTTCTTTCTAATTATTAACTTAAAAATTCGATTTTTAAAACAATATTGGTATAATTTTTCAATAAATATTGTATTAATATATCTTTTATAATATTTTTTTTAAGAAAAAAGCAATATTTGATTTACAATATAATGTTCCTAAATTTAATTTATATATATAATTTGTAAATTTGCTTCTAAAATATTGAATGAATATTTATTTGGATTATTTATCCAATAAATGATATATTAGATTTCCAGAAATTATTTTTGTAGTTTTCTATGTAATATTTTGTAATTTTGATATTAGTATTCTAAATTGATATAATTTATATTATTTATGTTCATTTTTTATTTATTTTATTTTTGTTAAAAATTTAATATAGTATTTTTATTTAAGAAAATAAATTATTTTAAGGAAAATATAATAAAAATAATTAATATAACAAATATTTATTTTATTTTAAAATTAATCTGAAATGAATAGTAAATTTTTAATAATATATAAATTAGTTATTAGTTTTTTTATAAAAACATTATAAATGAATAAATAAATACTTCTTTTATAAATTTTAAATTTTTTTTCCTAATTATTTATTATATTTAAATTCAAATAACTACTTATTATTTTAATATTTATTTTTATATTAAACTATATAATAAAAAATTTAGTATTTTAATATGTTTTATATATTACAAAATCTTTAACTCAAATGACATAAAAAAAATATGGACTTAGGAGTAATATAATATAAAAATGAGTCGAACTACAAAAATAAATTAGATAAATAATTATATCTAAATACCATTATTTGAAAATAAGAAAAAGTATAAAGAATAATTAAAGTAAATTTAGAAAAAAATATAGAAAACGATATATAAAAATATATAAAATAAGAATATTATAGTAAAATTACAACAACAACAAAAAGTAATATATACTAAAATTAAAATTCATATTAAAAAATTTAAATTTAATTTATAAATTGAATTTTAAAAAGTGTTTGTTTTTTTGTTAAAAGAATATAAATAATTTAGTGAAAAGATTTTTTTTATTTTATTAATATTTTTTATAAATTTATGGAATATTAAAAAAAAAAAATTAAAAAAAAATATATATATAAAAATAAATATTAAATTAAATAGTTTAAGAAAAAATAAATTTATTATTTTCAATATATAATTATAATATTTATAAATATTTATCTATTAAAAAAATTATATAAATATATTTAATTGTATTATTTATATATTTAAAATATTCTTTTTACAAAAATAATTAACAAAAATTGTAAAATTATATAATAAAGTATGTATGAATTTTTGAACTTGTTAATAATATTTATAATTAAATGATTTTTTTTATAATTTATATTATAATAAGTATAAACTTTATATTAATTAATTTTATAGAAATTTTAATATCACCATTTTTTTTAATTAAAATAATAAAAAACTACAGAAATTTATTTAAAAAAAAAATATGTATATAAAAATTAAAAGGTTTAATAAATAAAAATAAACAATCTCTATATAAAATATATTATATAATATTAATTTTTTTTTAAAAAAATAATCAACTACATATAATTTAATATTCATTAAAATATATCATTATTTTTTTTAAAAGACTAAAATAATATGCAATTATCAAGCGGATTGATTAATAAAATCAAACAAATAATTATTTCAAGCTAAGGCGAATAAGAATCAATAAAAAAATTAAAAGTTGATTAAAATCATTAATCTATTTAAGAAATATTAAAAACGAGCGATTATTAAATTATAAATATAAATTGTTAAGAATTAGCATCTTAAATATTAAGATATATTACCTACTACTGTTTATTAAAACTACGTTCTTAAGTATTTATTTATATAAATAAAAATTATTATCAAAACATATTCATTTTTCTACTATTATTATTATTTAAAAAAAAAAAATTAGAAATAAAAATTTGAATTTCAATTCGAATAAAATCTCCGAAAACTCAAAAATTATCAATTTTAATGCGAAGACAAAAACATATAAAATATAATAAATAATATAAGTATTCATAAAATAAATGAACAATTATCATTAAGGTTGGAATATAAAGAAGATTTGATTTAATAACTTTCCAAATTAAATCCTAATTTTTTTTCATCAGAATCGGAAATAATTTTATTACCTGAAAAACACTATGAGAGTTTTGAGTAATATTTAGATCAATATAATAACTTCGAGAATAAAAGTGATCCTATAGAATATATTTATTTACAAAAAATAAAAAAATATTTGATTATTTTATCTGTTTTTATTGAAAATACATTGAGCATTTTTATTAAAAAAAAAGAAAATAATAATTAATTTCAAGGGCTATTTATTGTTTTCCTTATTAAGTCAATTTTTAATGGGAATAAGAGATAGTTTTTTAATAAAAAGAAGATGAATAATCAAGCGAAAACTACTAAGAAAATGAAAATTAAATATCAATGAATAATATAGAAACTTCAAATTAAAATAAAAATGTAAATCTTTTAAATCAGAACATAATTTATGATTAAATTATTAATAATTATTTCCTTTATTAACCTGATTTTTTTCAAGGAATTATAAAATCAGCAGAGCCTAAAAGAAGAATGTCAGATGATGTGAAAAATAACTAATATATACAAAAAAATAGCATGCCATTTATTTATAATAATATTTTTCAAAATATTCCTCTCTTGTAAAATAATAATAGTGATTAAACTCCTTTTTATAATAATTTTATTTAATAAAATAATTAATTTTAATATTTTCCTCCAGCCTAATATTAATATAATTAATTTCAAAATGCTTAATAAAATATAATATAATAATAATAAATTAATATCTAAAATTAATTCATTTACAACACTAATTAATAATAAT